TCTCCAAGGAAAATATTGAGCCGATTTAGGTCTATCTGTGGGGTCATAGGGAGGCAGAAATTCAGTATTCTGCAAGACGACTTCAAGCTCGTGCCGGCCGCAGAGAAGGACATTGCTTGGCTAACGTTCAAGGAGAGCTTTGATTATCCTGCGGAGCATGAGGACCGTCTCAGGTGGGCTGCTTTCAAGGTTATGGGCACTGCTTGGAAGAACTTCAAGACTAAGCTAGTCGGCGAGTTCGTCTACAACCCGGCAAATCCAGATCCAAGAGAGAAATTTCCTTGGATCACGGAACAGGTCTAGTCGGAATTCCATGCGAAGAAGTCGACCCCCGAGTCCAGAGCTAGAAGTGAGGCATATCGCTTGCTCCAGACCAGGAACCAGCATCCGCACCGGCTTGGTACCGCCGGATATGCCGGTAAGGAAGAGGAATGGCAGCGTGAGGATGAAGAAGCGGAGGAATCGTGCACACCGCTCATGTTTGGCGATATCCCACACCCTCGGGCTAGGAACTGGGCCAGGGCTAGGTACCAGAAACATGATGATGGCACAATCTTCATGCCAAATGCAGAAGATCAACAAGTATACGAAGCTATAGTAAGTGTCTAATCAAACTAGATGTTCGCATTGTTTCCCATCGTGCAGTTTATTTGACCCCACTAAATTGTAATGCAGAAGGAGTTGGTTGCCGAGCAACAAGCCTTGCAAGAGGCCTGCTCTCAAAGACGCGAGGACGACCTCCTCACGAAAGCGTTGGGCAACAAGGAACACCGTGGACGGACACGGGGCGTTGGGTCTTCTGTTCCCTGGAAGTATGGATTTCCAGACTACGCGTGGCAGTACAAGAAGCGGACTTCCAACAAGGCGGAGAAAGATGCACGCCTTGTAGCCAAGATCCGGGAGTCGATACGAGCTGAGCTGACATCTGGATTCGACGAAAAGCTCGAGTCGATGAGGGCCAAGATTAGGCAAGAGATCCGAAAAGAGCAACAGATCCCCCAGGCTGCCGCTGCTGCTGCGCACAAAGAGTTAGGAAGTCCCACCGAAAAACGCAGCAGTTGCGCATCAACTGAGTTGGCGGAAAATCCAACATCGGTCGACAGCGCCGTCGACCACATAACGGTAACCGTGAACTTACTCAATACATGAAAGACGTAACGAATCCATATGATATATAATATTCTAAAAAAATTGATTAATCTATCGCAGGAACCAACGAGCTGCACCCTCACAGTTAGGGTGATGCCGACCTTCACTGTTCCAGCAGCCGAGGGACTTGCGTACAAGCCGACCCTAGAGACAAGAGTGCATGGAGCGCAACTCAGGGCCGGCTGTGCAAAAGTTCAAGTCGACTCGGTGAAGCCCGAATACGAGCTGTTCCCTCTGAAGTATCCACCGAACGACGAGGTCCTCTCACTAGGAAATGCCCGTGGTACCTTCATCCAATGGCCCAAGGACCTCATTGAGATCAGGGTTACAGCGAGGCCAACCACTGCACCAGGCAGTCGTCCACCAAAGAGACCCGCCTCTGCTCCTTCAGCCCCTCCTGCTCAAGATCGTCATGCACAATCTTACGATGTGCAGTTGCAGTACGACACGGATTTTGGGGAGGACCGAACGGAGGCCGACAGCAAGGCGATTCATGAACCCCCACCGATGAAGAAGAGCAGGAAGGCACACTCTTCCCCTCAGAGAATTACTCTCGATAAACCCGAAGCAAAGGGGAGAGGAAGGGGAGGAAAGGTGCAGACCTCGCTTCTAGCTCCAAGAAAGCTAGATCTGGGCAAGGGCCAGGAAGAGACTAAGGGCAAAGAGGTCAAGAAGAAATACGTCGCTCCACAGGAGTTCCAACTAGGCATGCCATTGGTTGGAGATGACGTGCTTGCCGCAATGGGCACCGCTTGCAAGGACCTTCACTTATACTACATGGAGAAATCTAACGCCAGGAAGCCAAGTAAAGCTACCGATATCCTTGGACAGCACGATGGAAAGCCATTCCTTGGTCCAACAAATTATATCGTGGTCGACTTCAAGGATCTTTTCGACCTCTACAAGCTCCGAGCGGTGGACACAAGCCTCCTTAAGTGCTACTCCTTGTAAGTATTGTCGCCCAACTCATTCTGGTAATAACAATCGGTTTAACTTCCTTACAAGATCGTTGATCCTATGTGTAGGTTAAGTTGGCAATGGTGTCAGAAGCATGCACCGGAAGTTGCCTTCCTTCATCCACAAGTGGTCACTGTCACAAATCTCCAGAATGACCGTCAAGGAATGGTCAACTACATCTACGACACCTTGTGGTCCCGCCGAGACAAGGAGTACATTATGTGTGCCTATAATAAATAGTAAGAGTGTTAACTAAATATACACAACAGCATGACACATTCCTTGAGTACTTAATTAACTTTCACTATATTAATGCCGCAGTGCCCATTGGATCCTTCTGGTCATAACACCTAAATGGAGTACATGTCATTACCTGAACTCTAGAATTGATAAGAACGCATATGATTGGACCCCAATTCAACTAGCGATAGATGAAGCGTGGGCCTAATACGTGCAAAGAGGAGGCCTCAAGAAGACAGGACATGACACCCTCATCCACAAAAAAGACTTCTCGGTGAAGCAACAAATAGGTGACCAGTGCGGATTCCATGTGTGCCACAACATGCGACTTCTGTATAGAGAAAAGGTGAAGACTTTGGCTGAGTTTGAGGTCGGTGGTCTCAATTGTGATAGACTAACTACATTTTAGTACTTATATATGATCGATCAACTAATCTGGAATTATGACAATGTAGGGCACAATAACCAAGTCTCTGACTACCAGCTTTGAGGAGGTTCGTGAGGAGATAGCCAGCTTCATCCTCCGCGAAATAATTAACCCCAAAGGAATGTTTAGGCTTAAACTAAAATGATGAACAATGTTGAACTTCTATGTTTAGGCAATGATGAACACTTATTATGCAACTGTGGTGATGTAACTGTGATGCTTATATTTATGTATATATTTCATATGTTTATGTTAAGACTTGCTAAATAAATATTTGATCCAATTAACTCGGTTTTGCAGGTGAAATATGATAAATATTTGAATGGATTTGAAATATGTGAATGGATGTGAAATATGAGATGGCTGTGAATGTGTGGTTGTGTGAAATATGTTGATGTCTGTGTATGTGAATGCATATGTATGAATGGGTGATGCTGGGGAGCTGGGGATATTGGATATCTGTGTTTGTTTCTGTCATTTTTGCAGCGGGCATGGCTAGCAAAGGCCTGAGGCTAGTCAAAAAAACAAAATTTATTTTTTTTGTGGATTATAGTCATCTGTGACGGGCCATAACTAAATGCCCGATTGAGATGAGATCATCTGTGACGGGCTATAGCTTAGGCCCGATTGAGGTCACTAGTCATCTGTGTCGGGCTCTAGTTTAGGCCCGATTGAGGTCAGTAGTCATCTGTGACGGGCTCTAGTTTAGGCCCGATTGAGGTCATCAGTCATCTATGACGGACTATAGTTTAGGCCCGATTGAGATGAGTATCATCTGTGACGGGCTCTAGTTTAGGCCCGATAAAGGTTAGTAGTCATCTGTGACGGGCGCTAGTTGTGGCCCGATAGAGATAGGTCATCTGTGACGGGCTATAGTTTGACTGGTCGTCTGGGTCAAAGCTATCGGTGACGGGCTTTACTTAGGGCCCGATTGAGATATATTCATTCGTGACGGCCGTTTGCCCGATTGAGATAACTCTTCACATCAGTGACTTCTAGCCTGTGACGGACGCTGTGCCCGATTGAGATGGGGCTTACCGCCCAATTGAGATGAGGGTATCCGTTCTAGTGTGTTTTTTTCACTGAGTATTGTCAACAGAAAATATATATGTTTGTACAGAATGACGAAGCAAAGGTTTTCTTTCCTCATCAGGCAAACATCAGGTTGATCTAACCAATTGAGTTCATACAGAACAAATATATAATTTCTTACCGGGAAAACCATTCAGGACTTGTTTTAATGGGCCAGATCCCAACCCATCCATATGTACTAGTTTACAAGGCAGGAACTTTAACTAAAATCTTGGCCCATACACATAAATGGGTCAAAATTTCAGCCCATGCGACACAAGGTCTTAGTAATTTGATTTTCCCCATGAAAAGATAAAACAAAAGTGACCACAGAGCACTTTTCAAGGAAAAATAAAGTACACACAGCACAATATTGATACTGCGAATTACTAAAACTTGGTGCAAATATTACGGATACGGTAATATTTGTGCCTGTAGGCATCTATATGTGCCTGTAGGCACTATCTGCAAAAAATAAAATATACGGATACGGTATTGTTTTTTTATGGATTTGTAAGAGGAAGAATAATCTGTATCTGACTATCTATGCTATTCTAAAAGAAGTCAAATGGTGGTGGCAGTGAATCTGGCACCACCGCCAACTCTATTTATAATGTTTTTACATAAATGTATTTATATAACGTTTACCAACTACTTATACATGTTCGTTAATATAGAAAATAGTTCTACGTACATATTGATTCAATCTTATTTGATCTCTAAAATTGTATCATGCAAATAGATCTATAGGGACGAATTGTTCTAAATACCTCACAATTCATTGTGTTAAGCTCTTTGCGCTTCGTCTAAATTCTAAGCATTTGAATACACAGTTTATTCAGCAGACATGTAAGGAATTGAGTAGTAAAACCAAATATTTGTAGTGGGAGCTTCAGATATCTTTCTCGGTGGTCCTGACAGCTTAAGATACAATTCCAGGTTTTTCGAGTACACAAATCCCATGTGTTCAATGAACTTACTTTGTTATATATATGAGAACTTTCTACTTTGAACATACTGTAACATCAAGTGTCCTTTTAACTTACCTTAACATCAAGTTACTTCCAATTTTAGTCAATATAGTACTGGTTCATCTGACATAACTTTCTGCCTAACTGAATCCCTGAATCCATTTTAACTAGCTGACCATAAATCATCCAATCAAATATGAAGGCCCAATGACATTTCAAGCGCAAAAATAAATAAGGCTGATGGTATCAAACAAGATCATATATAGATCATCGTCATCTTACTAGATAAACTTACATATATTAATAACCCATACGCCATCCATACCGTTGGACCATCAGCATCATCTTACTAGGCAAACTAATATATACTAATCCATGACCAGATCACATATCATTGGATCATCCTTACCATCTTATAATAGATAGAGTACTAATGCATCCTAAAACTATTGGCGTGCAGCTATATGTAACAAAAGGGGCACAGCATGCACAAAGTCATACCACGATGGAGGATCTTGTCAATCCATGTTGTTGAGCAACGTCCTCGTCACCTCCTTCCTCATACTATCTAGCTTCAACATCGTCTTGAGCTCCAGAACCCTCTGCTTCTTCGCCATGCCGTTCATACGGACGGCTGTACCGTCATCGATGAACTCCAATCCCATCTTGAGAACATGTCCACCCAACTCATTGGTGCTGATCCTCTCCACCTCATCGACGAGATAAGGATACAGAGGACGCAGCTCCTCTAGGTCCCTGCGGCCCCTGGTTCCCGACGCCGGAATCGAGCTCTTCTCCGGAGCCGGAGAGGTTGGTGGTGGCGCGACGGGGTTGCCCCAAATGGCACAAGAGAGCTCGAACCTGTTGTCGCCTGGTACGGGCCGAGGACCGGAGAGCATTTTGTCGTACTGGGTCCGTAGGCGGCGCACCTTCTCGTAAATCTCCGAGACGGTGAACTCCTCCTTGTCGAGGCCGCGGCCGGCGAGGACCTCGGGCAGCTGGGAGCGACCCGGGGGCGCGCCGTGCTTCTCGACGTGCGCGGCGAGGCACTCCAGGATGCGGAGCTCGTCCGCCTCCGACCAGACGCGCGCGAACGCGACCGGCTTCTTCGTCGCCTTCGCCTTTACCAACTCCCCGGCCGGTACGGAACCCTCCAGGCGCTCCGCCCCCAGCGCGTCCCCTCCTCGGCCGGGGAGCTCGTCGGCTGGAGCGGATGAGGAGGGAATCGCAGAGGCGGTCCGGCGGCGGGTCGTAGCCATCGCGGCGAGGGTTTCGTCGCCAAAAGCAAAGTGGGGTGGTGACCAGTCTTTGACTAAAGTCACCCTTCGTTTCCGGAGGAGAAGCACAGCAGTTGAATTATTAAATTAAACGCCCTTTGGGCTTCCGGCTTCCCCCATCTAGCGAGGGCCGTCACGTCAGATACTTATTTTTATAAGTAAATTAAATGGACAGAATACAATTTATTACGTTGGTGTAATTTAGTGTGGTAATAGAGACTATAATCTAGCTATAAACATGTTTCGATGAAATAAAAGAGAAGAGAGAAGAGCAACTGGCTACAGCTACAACACAAACTCTAAGATGTATTTGTGTATGTCAGATGGGATAAGATATTAATTGTGTAGTATATATTTATAGGTAATTATTGTATGAATTGATTATTAAATTGACTATAGATAATTTGGAGCCAACGGTTAGCTATACTATTAAACTTGCTCTGAAACGCTAGTTTTAGTGCATGAATTTATCTAAAGCGTCCCAACCACGAAAATAAAAATACTACATGGGGCTAATCTTATTAATTTAAGTGTTGACTACGATACAATTATTAGATCTTATACTCATTAACTTATCCTTAGCACATACATGATCACCTAAACTTATGCGGGAATTGACTGACCGGTTGAGCTTGAAGCCATCTTAGTCGCGGTAGGAGTCGTCGGTGATGTCGAGGTCGTGGTAGCAAGTTGCCGGAGGTGAAGCAGATGGCGTCGCCCTTCAGGCCGCCACCTGCACTGGCCGGGAACGGCGTTGGAGAACGCCTTTCGGTCTCCTTCCAGCACTTCTTAGGATCGGCGTTAGGGTTTATCGGGAGGGTTTAGTGTACTTAGATCGTCACCTAAGCACAGACGGCCTCTCCCTTTTAATATAGCGCTAGAGGAGATCGGGGGAGAATCCGTTATGGAGAACGATGCGCATCCGATCGGCGCACGTAGTGGATGAGATGCGAGCGTATCGCTCGCTCCTCGCCGTTAGCCGCGTGTGGGCGTGGGTGTGGGTGGGCCTAGACCACGACGTGTCTCTCTGGTCTCGTTACCAGGAGATCAACCAACATTCTCCCACTTGATCTTCTCCCACTTGATCTTAATGCTAACGAGTCCAGTCTAAGTAGAATAGCGAACCAAAGCAATGTGTCATAGTAATCAATAAAATGTCACTATGACAACAGTACCTATAGCCACTATAATACCTTGATAGGAATCAACTTAATCTTATTGGGTGTTGATTGATTCTTATGCCTCTATTCTAGAATCTTGCTTATAGGTCACCTACTAATCCCATGCCGGCAATATGCTCGTTAAATAAGTTGGGTGGTAGACCTTTAGTGAGCGGATCCGCAAGCATTAACTTAGTGCTTATATGCTCAACCTTAATTGTTTGATCTTGGATTCTATCTTTCACAACATGATACTTAATGTCAATGTGCTTGGCAGCTGCACTTGACTTGTTGTTACTTGAATAGAAAACTGCGGCTTTATTGTCTCAGTATATGGTGAGTGGTCCATTAGCGCTGTCGACCACTCTTAACCTTGGAATGAAATTCTTTAGCCATACCGCCTGTCCGGTTGCCTCAAAACATGCAATAAACTCAGCCTGCATTGCCGACGATGCAGTAATAGTTTGTTTGGAGCTTTTCAATGAAATAGCCCCTCCTGCGAGAGTGAAGACATAACCTGATGTGGATTTCTTAATGTCTATGCACCCTCCAAAATCAGAGTCTGAGTAACTAGTAACTTCAAGGTTATCTAACTTTCTATAAGTTAGCATGTAGTGCTTAGTGCCTTGCAAATAGCGAAGGACTTTCTTAACAGCCTTCCAGTGGTCTAGTCCTAGATTTGACTGGTACCTGCCAAGCATTCCAGTAACAAAAGCCAAGTCCGCTCGCGTACAGACTTGGGCATACATTAAGCTCCCGACAGCTAAAGCACACGGAATCGCCTTCATTTGTTCCTTTTCTAATTGATTCCGCGGGCTTTGGAATAACCCAAACTTATCGCCCTTGACTATTGGAGCAGGCGTGATAGAGCACTTACTCATATTATATCTGTTTAGCACTTTGTCAATGTATGATCTCTGAGATAACCCCAATACTCCCCTAGACCTGTCTCAGTGTATCTCAATGCCCAATACATAAGAGGCATCACCAAGATCTTTCATGTCGAATTTAGATGACAAAAACACCTTAGTCTCATGCAGCAGGTGCTTATCGCTGCTAGCCAATAAGATGTCATCCACATAGAGTATTAAGATTATAAACTTCCACCCTTACTCTTCATATAAATGCAATTATCCACTTCATTTTCCATAAATCCAAAGCTTCTTATCATATTATCGAATTTAAGGTACCACTGTCTTGACGCTTGCTTAAGACCATAAATTGATTTCTTAAGTCTGCATCCCATATGTTCCTTGCCTTCCACAACAAAACCTTCCGGTTGTGTCATGAAAACTTGCTCTTCCAAGTCACTATTAAGGAATGCAATCTTAATGTCCATTTGATGTAACTCTAGATCATAATGAGCTACTAGCACCATGACAACTCTAAATGAGTCTTTCTTTGAGACAGGGGAGAATGTTTCATTATAATCTACCCCTTCTCTCTGTAAAAACCCCTTAGCTACGAGCCTTGCCTTGAATCGTTCGACATTCCCTTTGGAGTCATACTTAGTTTTGTAGACCCACTTACAGCCTACTGTCTTGACCCTTTCAGGAATATCTACTAAATCCCAAACACCATTAGTGCCCATAGACTTTAATTCATCTTCCATAGCTTCAAGCCACTTGGATGAACTTTCACTATTAATGGCTTCATTAAATGAAGTAGGATCGTCTGATTTCCCAATGTCTTCTCCAATATAGACCTCATAGTCACTGCGAATAGCAGACCTCCTCTCTCGCTGTGTTCTTCTTAATGGTTCATTAGTGATCTCAGTGGGTTGTGGAGTTTGCACATTATCTTGTGCTACAGGTTCATTAATATCCTCAACTAGAGCCTGGGCCACAGAAGAAGACGCCTACGGCACAATCTGAGGTACAGTTAGATTTTCCTGTTGGATGGCCGATTGCGAGAACCGAATCTCCTCAAGGTCTATCTCCCTGTTCTGTAAGCTCCCACGGATTTGATCATTCTCTAAAAAGACTGCGTGTCTCATCTCAACAAACTTATGGACATGGTCTGGACAGTAAAACCGGTACCCCTTAGATCTTTCTGGATATCCGATGAAGTGACAGCTTACAGTCTTAGAATCTAATTTTCTTAAATGTGGATTAAAAGGCCTAGCTTCAGCAGGACAGCCCCATATCCTTAAATAATTTAGAGTCGGTTTCTTACCAGTCCATAATTCATAAGGTGTCTTAGGTACGGACTTGGTAGGAACCCAATTTAATATATGGGCAATAGACTTTAATGCCTCCATCCACAATTTCACAGACAAACTGGAATGAGTAAGCATGCTTCACACCATGTCCATTAGGGTGCGGTTGCGGCGCACAGCCACTCCATTCTGCTGTGGTTCTCCGGGCATAGAGTATTGGGCTACAATGCCATTTTCTTGTAGGAATTTGGCAAATGGCCCCGGAATTTGCCCATATGGAGCACTCTTGCCATAGTACTCTCCTCCCCGATCTGAGCGCACTACTTTAATCTTAACATTTTGCTGATTCTCCACTTGAGCCTTAAAAATCTTAAATTTTTTTAGTGCCTCAGACCGGTCATTAATGGGAAAGATATAACCATAGCGAGAGTAATCATTAGTAAACGTAATGAATGAATCATAACCATCCACTGACGTTATTGGGAATGGGCCACATATGTTCGTATGGATTAATTGAAGTACTCCCGTACTCCTAGGGGCTCCTTTCTTCATTGTCTTAGTAAATTTGCCTTTTATGCAATCTAAGCAGGGATTGTCCTCAGTAAAATCTAATGAATGAAGTATCTCTTCCTTAATGAGACGTTCCATTCTCCCCTTCGAAATATCGCCTAAGCGACAGTGCCATAATTTCGATGAGGTCTCATTAATCTTAACATTACATACAACATCATGAGCATTCATTGCAGAATTATCAAGAGAGAGCAAATAAAGATTGCCTTGCTGGAGAGCAAGACCCACAATCTCATCATTAAATTGAATAAAACATTCTTTGTGTCCAAAATGAACTCTAAAACTGTCGCGCCCAGAAGTTCTTTTCCCTAGCAAAAATTCAATTAATAAATGGTTGGAAGAAATTATTTGTTTAAAGGCAAGAAAGAAACCCTAAATTAATAAATGCAAATAATAATCGGAATCGGCATGTGGAATTTTTCTTGGGTTCTACATGTCAAAATACGCTAACAGGATTTTTAGTGGAATTTTCAGAGCATTGGAAATAATTTTAACCAATTAAAATAAGCAAAGTGCAATATTAAATCCCTGGAAAAAAAATCCTTTCTTCTTTTTCTTTTTCTTTCCTCCTTTTTCCTCTCTTCTTGGGCCGTCGGCTCGGCCCATTTCTTCCCGCGCCGGCCCGCTCCTCCCTCCCACTCCCGAAGTTCTCCCGGCCTCCCTCTCCCTCTCGGGCGCTGACAGGTGGGGCCCACCTGTCAGCCCTTTCCCTAACCTCCGGCCGCCCACGCCTGCGCCAACCGCCGCCGAAACCACCACCCATCGCCGCCCGCCTTCCCCGCCTTCCGCGCCCCACTCCGCGCCCTGCGCCCACGTCGCCGCCCACCATCCCCACTCCTCCCACTCGCGCGTGCACCCCGCAACGGAGGGATTCAAATTCGAAACTCTCTCTCTCTCTCTCTCCATTCCCCACGTCGGCGAGAAATCCGGCCGCCTCCCGGCCTCGTCCGTCTCTCTCGAGCCCCAATAAAGCTTCCCCGCACTCCCCTCCACCTTTTTCCTCTTTCCGCCGCTCTCTCCCGTGCCCTCCATCACTCCCGCACCGCTACACCCGCCGCCGCCGCCTTTTCCACTCCTCCGGTCGCCGCTCGCCGCCGCCGAGTCAATCTGCGCCGCCATTAGCTTCGCCGCCGCCAAAGCTACCCCGGCCGCCGCATCCCCATCCAATCCCGCCGTCGGGGCCCGCTTCTCCCCGCGCGCCGGTGAGTACCACCATTGCCGCCGCCTTCGGCCATGGTTTCCGCCCGCCGTAGACCACCCCTCTCCCTCTAATCCTTCCCATTTTGTTCCCTAGGAGGTCCCGGAGATCGTTCGCCCGTCGCCGTCGTCCTCCCGTCGCTCGTCGTCGTCGTTCGCCGTCGTCTCCACTCGCGCCGGCCAACCTCGGTGAAAAATTCCCCCTCCTCCCTCTTTCCCTCTCTTCCGTGTGCGTCGCCGTCCTCCGCGCGCGCATCGTCGTCTTCGGCCGCCGCCGCCGCTTTTCGCGCCGTCTGCCGTCGCCGTCCGCGCCGCCGGTTGCCGTCGCCGGCGACCGCGCGTGCCGCCGTCATTCGCCATGCTTGGCCTGCCGGCTTTGAAGCCGAGCCGAGCCACCAGCCGCGCCCCTCCCGCCTTGTGCCACTGCCAGTGGGGCCCACGTGCCGGCGCCCCTCCCTCTCTCTCTTGAGCCGCCGCTCGGTGGGGCCCGCTTGCCAGCCGCCCCTCTCTCTCCTTGAGTCACTGACCCGCAGGTCCCGCGTGTCGGCGCCACCCCTCCTTATGCTGACGTCAGCCCTGGGATGAATTATTGCGCAATAAATTGATTACGGCTTTTCTTTAATAGTAAAAACACAGAGAATCTTCTAAAAATCATAACTAATTCATCCGAGCTCCGTTTAAGTCCATTCAAGTCTCAGTAAATTCATAAAAATGTATAGAATCCATTAAAAATGGTTTTGTTTCCTGTTTCAGTAGTCTTATAGCATGTTTTGCTTGTGTGCTTTGTTTGTCGCGTAGATTTCGGCCGTTTCGTCGATTCGTGGTTGCTCGAAGACGTTGCTGTGGTCTCATCAGTGCGAGAGCAAGGCAAGTCATACATTGCAATTGATCATATTGTACCCAATTTACAAGTATCCTGCATTTCTATTAAATATTGCATTGTTTTACAATATCATGTGGGATGGGTCCTATTACTCAGCTATATGTTGTTTCCCTTACGCCTTTGATAACTTGGGTATTAAAATGACTAGATGTTGGTTTAGGAGATGCTTAGCCATGCTTAGTTCAACTAGTGCACAAAAGGGGGGTCACATTAAAGCATAGACTTTGATTATTGGCAATAGCTTTGGATTAGTGCCACCGCAATGGTGTTAGTTAATTAAAATACATTACATGGTGGGCTGTGGGTGCATGGTTTTGCTAGTCGTGCCCATGGCAATTAAGGACCGGTTCGCGGGATGCCCTGGAAGAATTTATCGTACTTACCACAAGCCAGCGTGGGCAACGGCTGGGCTTGTAGTGTAGCTTTTCTCTAGCCGACGTACCCAGGCGAGGGTGGGCGTGATGGAGTTGGGTCGGCCGGGGTGTCCGGTTGATCGGCTTCCGGATTCACCGCGGCACGAAAGGGGGGCTGCCCGTTGCCTGCTGGGGACGGGGGCGAACCCTAAGGTGTGGTGCGATCGGTTAGAGGGGGTTATGCGAAGGGTCCTGTCACGGCCTCTTTCCGGTATGTCGTGGTGGCATGTCGGCGCACGGGAACGTGTCGTGGGGCTGTGTCTTGTGGGTACAGTTGTACACCTCTGATCAGAGTAAAACTATTCGAATAGCCGTGCCCGCGGTTATGGGCGGTCGACCAGATTCACCGTGATTAGTCTCACCCCTAGTTTAGCTTAATGAACTGGTGTAGTTCAGGTGGTTGGTTGGGCCTGTTGCAACGTGATGTAACGTTGGACAGTGATTGGTTAATATGGATTAATTACTACAACTGTTTTACTGCTTTCAACTACTGCTTTGAAATGCCGGCTTTATGCAAAAGAACCTTTAGCCTCCCTTGGATATATCTTGCATCATACCTCCTCTTCCGGTATGACTTGCTGAGTACAGTGGGTAGTACTCAGTCTTGCTCTCTTTTCCCCCACACCAGAGTTGAAGTCCTTCTCAGTTGAAGATGTCTCGAAGAGGTTGGTTTCGTCGCTGCCGTCAAGGATGCCTGTGGAATGGAGTCGCCCGCTGCAGGAGTCAAGCCTTCAGGCTTAGCTCGCTTTTATCTCTTTTTCCGCTGCATTTGTAATCTTTTCTATTTTTGTAAGACGTGGATCTGTATGTCAACAATTGTCGTTTGTGTACCCTGGCTGGTCCTGGACAGGGATTTAATGCACATTCAGCTTAGAAATTCTGGTTCGAGAATTTCTGGGCGTGACAAAAACCGCGTTCGGTTAAACATGAAACAGAAATAAGGTTCCTTTTGACAGATGGAACATAAAGAACATCATCTAGTGATAAATGATGGCCTCCTTCCAAAACTAATGAAAGGTCTCTAATAGCTTCTACATGAAGTTCGTTTCCGTCCGCCACTTTAAGACTTCGCTCCCCCTTTGCGATAGTCCTCACGGAACTCAATTCCATTCTTAGCGAGCCACTTCTTAAAGCCATTACAGTTCTTCTGAATGAGCCCTGGCTTTTTGCAAAACCTGCATATTATGGCACTTGCTGATGGACCAGGAGCAGGAGAAGCTGGTGTCTTAGGCTTCCCCTTTGGCTTGGGCTTGTGTGGAGAGTTCCTGGGTTTCTTACTGGTTTCAGCAGCACAAATCTCATCAGCCTTCCTTTTGCCTTTCTCATTATCAACAAGGTAGGCTTGCTTCTTTGCCTTTCCGCCTTCTGACACTCCTCCTCCTCCACAGAGTGAGAGATGAGCTCGGCGATTGACCACTTGTCCTTCTGAGTGTTATAGTTAATCTTAAATGGACCGTAGTCAGATGGCAATGAGTTCATAATGAAGTGAACCAGGAAACCATCAGAGATGGACATGTCCATACTCTTTAGTTGTGCCGCCATGTTGGTCATTGTCATGATGTTTTCTCTCACACTCCCCTTCCCGTTCTAACGAGATGTGAGCATTCTCATGATGAGAGCACTAGCATAAGTTTTCGAGGAGCCCTTAAAGTTCTCCTCGACATTAGCAATGTAATCCTTGGCGTTTTCAGCATCTGGAATGCCGCCTCTTAATATACAGATCCAAACATAAATAAAGCGTAAAATACTTACAGAAGAGGCACTTAGTCCTCACACCGAAACGAAAGCAGCAGCAGCGGAAAAGGCGATCCTAGCTGGGCTTCAACTCCACTCCACAGGCAAAACTCAACTGGGGTTTGAGCCTTAGTCTTCTAACTTCGTCTTCAGCTCAGAAGCACTACACTTCTGAAATGGGGGAACAATAGCAAATGCTGAGTACAACCACCGTACTTAGCAAGCCACACCAACAATGCAGACGTGCAAGGGGATACAAGGACGGTTTACGGCTATTTGTATAAAGGCAGTTGTAAAACATTTTATTGAGCAAAACAGTAAAACTATTGAGTAATTAAGGTAACATTCAATCTCCACTAATCAACGCTACACCACGTTGAACAGGCCCAACCATTCCACCTGAACTACAGTGCATTGAGTCAATTTATTGGGACTGAGACTAATCACGGTGATTCTGGTTGATCGCCCATAACCGTGGGCACGGCTATTCGAATAGTTTTACTCTGGCCAGAGGTGCACAATTGTACCCACAAGACACAATCCACCGGCATGTAACCATGCCCGGCCGGACACGTCACCATGTCGAGTGATTGTGACAAGACCTTTCATATAACCCCCTCTGACCAAACACACCACACCTCAGGTTTCACCCGCGCCCCCAACAGGCAGCGGGCAGTCCCCTTTCATGCCTAGGCAAATCGGAAAGCCGCATAGGCCATCGCAGGGCCCATCCGAACTCCATCACGCTCACCCTTGCCTGGATCCGTCAACCAGCGGAAAGCTATACTTCAAGTCAAGCAGTTACCCATTCCCGCTTGTGGCAAGCGCTGTATGTCTTCCAGTGCATCCCGCGAACCGGTCCTTAATTGCCATGGTTGCGACCAGCAAAACCATGCACCCACATCCCACCATTCAGTCGCATTTTAATTAGATAATTACGACCAATGCAACATGGTCGGGTGTCTTGAGCACGCAGCCCGTTCTAATACTAAAAAGGTCTAATACTGCAATTATCCCATCAACTGAGCTAGTGGTTGTTGAGGACATCAACACCAACGATACATCCACGCCTCCACAAGTACAACTTCATGGTCCTATTACCCGCGCTCGTACACGTCAACTCAACTATCAGGTGCATTCATTCTTAAATTCATATGATTCTTATTTATACCCCAGAGACACGTGCACTCTTGTTTTACTCAGGAACAATGGAGAGG